GGAGGGAGGGAGGGAGGGAGGGAGGGAGGGAGGGAGGGACAGAGAGAGAGAGAGAGAGAGAGAGAGAGAGAGAGAGATCTCAAAATCAATCAATGGATCAGACAAACAACTGAAGATTCCCACATACCTTGAGAAGAATCTGAGCACAAAGGCTCAGTGATGTCAGAGGTGCTGCTGCTCCGGGGGACCTGCTGCTGTCCCACCACAAGATAATCAGAGTCGGCTGTGGGTGTACTCTCTGCCTGCTGGAATTCCTCCACTTCTGTAAGCATTAAGACAAAACACAGGACTGTAGTTGGAGATTTTTTAAAAAGCATTTCACATTTAGCTGATTTAAACATTAAGTTTCATATTGTTTTTAGAAGCCAGACTACAGTAAGATAATCTGCATGCACATCATCAAACATCCATATTTATTAACATTAAAATTCCGCTCCATGATACGTTTTTCTTAAGCTACAATTATAGCTTTCTGTTTTCCAGGTGAAGGAAAAGGGTGAAAGAAGAAAATCACACACACACACACACACACACACACAAAAAGGTCAATAACTCTGAGTCATTTGAAATTTCCTAGCAGGAAGGGTAACTCAGCCATGTCGGAAATGCATAGACAGATAAATAATACTTGAGAAAGCACAGTTGGAACCCCCCCAACATTAAATAAAGATGAAAGGAAACAGGAATCCCAACTGTACTATTCCTTCTAATAATTAATGCACAACTGTGCAAAATAAAATGTTACTTAAACCTCATATTACCATGTGCAGATCTGAACTAGTCACTAAGCACAAAAATGATCCATGTGGTATAAAATGGAAAACCAAAGATGAACACTCAACACCAGATAATTTTCTAATATTTACATCTTCTATTTCCCTGGAGAATGGCTTCCCTTCTAGCTTATTTCTAAAGAGCAGAGTTCATTTTAGGACCAGTCACAGCACCCTACCCACTCACTCTAGATCTGTAGTCTTGGGATTGCATCATCATCTGCCTAGATCATCAGAAAAGCCTGCTAACTAGCCTCTATCTCCTTTCTGCTGTTCTCTACGTGGCTGTAAAAGGGGCCCCTCTAAAGTGAAGGTGTAATTGTGTCTGCCATCAGTCCACCTGGCCTGTCTCAACCCTACCTCACAAGTTGCTCCCCAATCACCATGTAAGAGCTCCCACTCTCTCTAGTCTCAGCAATACTGATCCTCTTGGCTCCTGCAGCTCTCTCTCTCCTGCTCTTCACTCCCCTCTGCTAATCTTAGCCTGGTCCCCTATCCCTCATTCCATTGCTGCACCAAGTACATACCACTATATATCTTACTATAGATTCAGCATGCAAAGCCACAGTTCAGTTCCACACTAGACTCCAAACTCTCTGATCCTGTCATAAAATTTCATACCCCTATACCCATATCACCATATTTTTCAAAATTAAAAAATTAAGCAGTAAAAGTTTTACTACTTTTAAGAAGAGAGTTCTCAAAACTCAATCTATATTATCTAAATTGGCTATGTCACTGGTTTCTCACCTGGAATGGAGATTCACTGCCAAAGCAGCTCATTCATCTGGACATAACCCATAGTAAAGGCTCACTCCAGCTAAGGAGATGTGCATACACAGGTTGATTCTGAGTTTAATGTATGGGATTTCCACAAAGGGTTGTTGCTCTGCTTTTTCCTACCTAAATGAAAATTCCGTTTTCTACTAGACTAGTATAATTACAAGGCTCAAATCTATGAGCTTGGTGTGAGTCATAACTATGAATCAAAGTTCTATCATCTTAAAACACAGTTTAAAGATGGATACTTAATGGGAACCTGAGAGAAGATAGGCTAAGCGAGCATGAAGAGACAGTTTCATCTTTCCCAGGCCATCTCTGCCTAGTGCTTCTCTTGAGCAGCAAAGAACTGTCTATTTTTTCCAGAGGACACGCAAGGCACATGTGCACATTTTAAGTCTACCTATATATCCCAGAGCAAAGACTAGGCTCTTTTTGCAAGTCTTCTAGTCCCTTTAGCACCAGGCCTCTTAACACTATGGAACCAGCCCTTCTAGTTACCTTCTTATTCTAATTTTGCAAGATGGCTAAATGGAGATACTGTATTTGTCACTCCTGTATCAGTAGAGGGAGCCCAAGAGCTTCCTAACTATTTGAGAAATAATTGGCCAAGGCCCATTTTTGTGGACAGAGGGAGGAGTAGGTTTTTTTTTTTTCCTCTGAAGACTGGTGCCAAACACTGATGGATGCCAGTTTCTGGGTTCTGAGCAGAAGTAAATAAGAGCTGAGCCAACACTGGCAGCATCTTTCTAAAGATAAAGAACATCGCCATCTGGCGGGATGCAACACAGCCACAGCACCATGGCTTCCAAATTAGAGTGTCCCCACTGGTCCTCAACACAGCAGACGGAGGACAGGAGCCTGCTACCACCAGCTGTCTGCCTTCCCAACAGGCGGGCCTAATACATCTTTTAAGGCTTTGTTTTTGCAAAACTGTTAAGAGGGACTTCTCAGATGGAGATAGTCCAAGGCTGTAGAAAGATCCAGAAATGGCAGGGATGGAAGAATGGGAGACTATAGTGGGAGAAAGAAGACAGCTACATACCTTAGTGTTCTGTTAGGGTCTACACTTGAAGTTGACTGTCAGTTGAGAAAATGTGTAAAAAAGAATTTACAATTATTCTTATGTTATAATATAAATCCAATTCACTGATTTGAAGGTGCACATTTCATGGACTTTGGTGTGTGCCACAAAGTATCTGTATTCAATAAGAGCTCTATGCAAATGGATAAGAGAATGACACTTTAACACCTTTTCCTTCCTAACAGTTCTTGAGCTCCCTCTGCTGACATGTTGTAGTGGAAGAAAACGTTGGGCTAAGGCTGCTCCCATTCTACTGTGTCCTGTTGAGCTGCTCTTTTGTAACTAATGAAAATAATTTTAACACTGGCATAAAATATAAAGACTCGGATTTGCCTGTCAAACAGAAAAAGAACATCTGAGTTACATAACAATTGTACAATAAATCTCAGATTCGATACATCCTGTTTTGCATGTCACACAATTTCTGTTTCAATCACTTTGAAGTGCTAAATCCTGCCTCAGAGTCTAAGTTCATTTATCTTCTGTGAAGTCCAATAACACCCGATTTTAAAGCACTAACTTTCCTGTCTCTTGAGGACACAGTTACTCAACACCATCACTAACCCACTGCTTTCTAAAGCTCCATTGAAAACATCAGCAAAATGATCATAAGGACCGCTTCTCTTCCCCACGAAGAGTTAGCTTCTATTTTCTCCAGATGTCTGTCTCCTTTTTACTCACTCTTTAATTGCAGACTTCCTTATTTCATCTTATTAAATGTAGCAAGGCTCTGTCTCCAAAAAACAAAATACTGTTCCATTTAACTCCTGTACAAGGCTGCACAAGCAAAATTAGAACGTAAGGTCCTAGTTTGAAAAACACCAATCATGAAGCCAACTTGCCTTCTAAAAGTTCAGGAGACGCTTTCCATTTAACACCTTAGATGTCCACAAGGTAAGCTTCTGAGAGTAAGTAATTAAGTTAAGTCCAGGTTCTAACAAGAACCATATCCATGGAGCGTATGAACAAGGCACAGAAGCATCTAAGCAAGGCTTGCCCTTATGTCCCGTATGGTAACATAAGGGAAGAGAGTCAATCTGCTAGTCATAACCATTCCAATACTCCCCAAAGAAAAAGAAAAATCTACCCTTGTGTAGCATGAAAGTACTACAGACTGATCAATGTCCCAACACAGAAAGCAGTTAACAGTGTAAGACAGCAGAGAGGGACTGTTCTCATGAACGAGAAAGAGGACTCCCCAGCTGGCACGCCTACTTCTCAGGGGCATGTTTTTTCTCAATGCAACTACTCAGATTAATGGAAGTGGGTGTTTTGACTCTCCCTAAATTCAAATACCACTGCTTTCTGAACCTCCAAATCTGCTACTATTGTTTCTATTATTATAATTTTGGTGGACTGACAGCTCACACAGATTAGAAATCAAAACAAGGACCACTGCCATCAATAAAAACAAAATTAGCAACGACTGAAACAGTAAAACAAAAAGAGCAGAAAAAAATGCTCAACTTGTGGCCAGAAAGGAAAATTTAAAGATCTGTTTGATATTTAGCCACAGTTTAGCAAGTGATACTCATCCACTCAGCGGTAGGCCAGAACCCACTCAATGCTGCAAACTGCCAATCAGGAAGAACATCTACTCCTAGGGCAAGTAAACACTTGCCTTGGCCTCACAAAGGACAGTGGTATCACTGTAGCTAATAAAAAACAACTAGGGTCAGACTGAGAAGACACTCCTTACTGTAGCTGTCAGATGAAAGTGCGGCAGCAGTTTGTCTCAGAGTCGCCCTGCTACAAAACCAGGAGTGAAGATGGTAAAGACAAGAAAACGCAGACCTGGTCCAGCCTGCTCCACTTTACAGCACTATAGGCTTTGCTGTATTTGCACGGCTGGTATTGAGTAGAGTGGGGCTGTCTCAGCAGAGTATTTAGCACCCTCTACACCAATAGCACCACCTTACTGTGACAACCCAAAATGTCTCCAGATGTTGCCAAATCATCTCTGGCTGACAGTTATTGCAGCAAATCCCTCAATTTCTGCTGGAGCCATGAACACACACACAAGAACCAAATATTTGAGTAAGTCAAAAAAGCAACCCTGAATAAGAACAAAACTTTTAAAAATGAAGCTATAAATAGGAAGGAATTTTTCTGAAAACTTATTCCAGAAAAACTAGTGAGAAAAACCTAAGTGAAAAAGTGAGGAAATAAAACTAGATTGAAATAAAACTTTTCACATTAAAAGATTTTTTTTTTGAAAAAAAAAAGATTTTTTTGGTGTCAACCAGCCAAATATATAGCAAATTCTTTCAAAGACCTTATTAATTACCTAACAGAAGTAGCACATTCTGGAAAGTCTGATCCTCAATTTACTGCTCAAGCAGCAGCGTAGCTGGCGCCCTTTTCAATGCCGCTCTCGCTGTTTTCACACTCAGTGTTCACTACAGAGAGTTTTCCAGGCAACAGTATCAGTTAAAGCTAGCGCTTCCCTCCTGGTATTTCACTATGCTTTAATCCTGCTCTGTGGAACTACAATAGTGCTATAGTGTTTGTGCTGCAGAATCTGTAGTTAGGCTGTTCCCCATATTTAAAAATTCCTCACCTACGTGTCAGAACTCAAAATGTAGAAGGAATATGAAAAAATTTCCCTCTTAATTAAGATCTAGCTCATCTTAAAATGACTAAAAATATCTCTTTGTAGATATAAAGGCAGAAAGTAAACTTCTTTTGAGGACTGACTAAGAAAAACATGAGAAAACTTGCTTTTGCTACTACAATATCCTCCCTTTACAACTGGCACAGGATAATTAAATTACATATAGTAGTTAGTACACAGTGTGGCATCTTGATGCATGGACGGTGTGGGCAATGTGACATCAGACCAGGATAACTAGTGTATTTATCACTCTCACCACTTATTTGACAAGTTCATTCAAAACACCCTACCCTGACTATGTCAAGATACACAATGGTTTATTATTAACTACATTCATCTTACTGTGCTAGGTACTATAATATCATCAGAAAAAAAAAACCCTCAAGAACTAAATCCAGTTTCAACTGGGTGAAGTCTAAGAACAAAAACGTTTTAGGGATTAGCAGTTTAGCTTTTTTCTTGTTGTGTTTTAACTATAACCTCAATTATCAGCATGAATCTGATACCAGGAGATTACAGAATTTTTGACTACCTAGTTGCTACTAAACATGAACCATACAAAAACAACCATCAATATCCTTTAAAAATTAACACAAGTGAAAAGGGCACTCTCCTGAATGTGACTCGAGGGGAGTTAGGGCAGGACAGAGAAGCCTGAGGACATGGATAGACACACAAGACAGCATTACAGTACCTGACAGTCTGTGAGAGCAAGAGGAGTAAGAGAGACCAGGGAAGAGAGCGCTCACGGTATGGAGGAGGAGCGGGACGCTTTTAGTGGCAGGCAAAGCCTCAGAGAGGTGGACACAGTTGCTGATAGACTGGCTTCGCTTAGCTTCCAGGAGAGATAAAGTAACATTACATCAGAGCACAGCGAGACCTTTCACCATTTCTAAGTTCTTACGGTGCTGCAATTACTTTAAACATTTAAAGGAAGCCATTTTAAGCATTAAGAGAAGTCAGTAAAATCAGAGTACTTAATCACAGTCTCTAAATACAGCCAACTTTCAGCCAAGCACTGATGATGCCTTAGAATGGTCACTCCACACAAAAAAAACTTATTTCAATTGGGAAGGCTTCATGCATTGCCCTTCCTTTTGCTGCTGTATATTAGAATGTATCTGAATGATGTCTGGGTTGCTTGCTGAAGCACACCCCATTAATACATTATTAGCACATTATTATCTGTTCCTAAAGGATACACATACAAAGACCACAGTGAGAAATAGAAAATCTGATCCAAGACAAAAAAATTTCTATTAAGCAATAAATAATTCAGAAATTGAATTACTGAGAGCTGACTGTATTTAAAAGCTAACCACTTAGTGAACTAAATGTCCCAGAAGTTCGTGAATATATGAATCAGATATTTTATTAAATATCTAAGAAAACTATCTTTTTATATTGTATTTCACATTTAGTAAGGCCAAAGTTTCCCAACTTTTGATTTTCTTATACATTGTTGGTTAAATAAACATTTAATGAAAAACAAACAGAAAGAGAGCATGCTTCAAATAAAATCTAAGCTTTCCTTAAAACCAAAATACAAAGGATTATTTGTTATGTTATTATTCTATGTACCTCTGCTAAGTATATGCAAAACAGAACTATACACAATAGTGGCACACTTGCAAAAGCTAAAACAAACTTTTTACTTTGTCCCCTATTCCTTGCTATCATCACTTCCAGCAATGAGATTATTAAATAACTCATGTGTGTGTAAGATAATATGTAAAGGGCAACAACCATGTAAAAATGTTAAAGTATAAAAAATTTGTTTATCTCAGGATATGGACAATATTTTATTTGAGCACTGTTTAAAGAGCTTTCCCTTTATAAATCAAATGACTGCACATTTTTCCAAAACGGATCACCATGCATTTTAAAAATGTAAAATACTGGCTGTTTTATGTGGCAATTAAGACTCACTTTGATCACTGTCTGTTTAGAATCTGGATTTTCACCATCACTGACACCCAGGGCCAGAGTTATCTTTCCATGCCAGGCTGCTTCAGTTAGACTCTGATTCTCTGGTGTCCCATCAGTGATAGCTGCTCTATCTAACTGAAATCTGTGGGGTGAATCGTTATGTGAATATCTTAACCTGCTCTTAATGAGATGCAAGAAACAAAGCGACTTTTGAGTGGCTATCCCACAATTACTGCTGTTACTAACTCTTCCTAAGAACAGAGAACTATTTCAGTGAACTTCTGCACTCAGAGAAACTCCTCTATACACTCAAAATATAGGGAAAACACTCTGGGCTTTGTTAAAAAGAAGGAAAAGAAAACTAAGTAAAATTACCCATGGATAATATTAAACAGTCTTATTAAACCACAAGGTATACAAAAATCTTCAATGACCATTAATAGGTAACAAGTGATTCACAACACTTAGCATTTTAAAAGATATAAAATGCAATAGCAAATGCATATAAATATGCATGCATACATGTGTATATATAAAGTACAAATATAATAGACTTGTATAACTGACAGTTTTCACTGTCTTTCAAATACAAAACAGTTCTAGGCTTTTAAAATTTAGTATCGTCTATAAAAGTCAACCTTAGAGTTTTAAAGTACATATTCCACAAATATCTTTACAAAATTTTTGAAAAAGGTTTGTTCAATGTCACACGGTCCTTCAAACACCTGAGAACATTTTAAAACATAGCCTGCTTTTCCTGAGTGTTTTCTAAACTATGCTGATGCTTCTACTATACAGTTGGTTTAAAACACCTGGTGGGAATTAAGATTTGTAGTGTCATATGGAACATGCATGTATCTGCTGCTGACCAACACATATGAATAAAATGCAGTGTTTGGGGATTAATGCTGATACTTGGAATTCAAAGGTGCAAAGGCAGCACAAGCACGGCCTGGGAAGGACACTGCCTTTGCCACATGCTTCTGATCTCTTTCACCAAAGGATCCCATGCTGGCATGGAAGGCTGTAGAAGTTGAACTGAGACAGGAATTCAGTGGGCATCCTCAGTGCTGAATGTTTTTTGAAACTGAGTTTCTTTTTAGGAGACAGAATGAAGAAAAAAATAGAATAGGTGGTGGAGATAATTAAAAAGATTATTACCAATAAATGCTAAGGCATAAAGAATGAGGAAGTTACAGGTAGGGACCAATATGCTTAGATGAAGCTGTCAACAGGATGCTAAACCAGCTAAATCAGGCTTTTAACAAACAATGAACAAAATATGTTAAACTTAACAAATATTTGTTTTATGGCCTGAGGAACTTTCTAAAGCTTTTCTGAAGCTGGTGACTACCAACTCTAATTGCATGGTGTTGCTGATGACAGAAACTGTAAGAAACTGAGATAAGGTTGTTTCAGTCCTACCTCAGAGCACAAAGGGGAGCGAGAACCTTACTGTCTCTGTTCTGAATATCAGCTTCCCTTTTAAAGATTTGCCTCTTGCCATAGTAAAATGTAACAAAGCTGCTGATAATTCTCAACCAAGTAACAGTACTAGTTCAAATAAACTGTAAAAGCAGCATCTATATGCATAAGAAGTTCAATGTTTTTAAAGAAGTAAAAAGCGAGAATGTCTCCATTCATTCCTAAAACCAAGTGTCACCCTCCTTTCCTTTGCTGGACCCAGTTATCACAAACTCTACAAGGCACACTGCCTAGCAATGACATCATTGAAGCTAAAGGTGCATTTATCATGCTCCCTTTCACAGTAGAGTCTTTAGAAATAAATAATAAAACCTGAGACTTCAGAAGTAACCAGAACAGAAAGTTTAAAAGATAATGACAGACTTCATCTAATAAAAGATCTAACTAATATTTAAATTCTGAGTAGAACTTTAAAATATTTATTCCTATAAATTTACTTAAATAGCAATTAGTTTTCTTAATGATATTTAAACAAATATTTACCCGTTGCTTTTTGACGAACAATATTTCTGGCCTTCTCAACTCCTGGTGCTCCAGATGTGGTCGCACTTCTGAATCTCATTGGCTCTGTCATATCTGGATGGCTACGCCAGCTGAGAGAAAAGGATCTACCCACAGCAGCCCCTTTTTGGGAATCTAGAACACAACCTGATAAAGGGTAAGATGAGAAAAACAATCAAAAAGCTGAATTTAATGGCAATCATACAATTACATATTACCAGCAGTCAAGAAACGGCCTACGTACAACACTGTACCAGCAGATTCCCCTGCTGAAAATGAAGACCCACTTCCTTGTGCTGAAGTTCAGGAAGATACATCAGTAACCTCAAAATACTTGCTACCAAAGTATTTTTAATTTCCAGCAGCTTCATGAAAATTGTATCTTCATAGTATTTACTTCCACATGCAAAAGTACATATTAACCAATCTTTCCAATTGTAAGAACAGTTATGTAAGAGAGATCCAGAAGAGAGTAAGGACCTCTAGGCAGGCAGAGCTCTGTGAGTTCGAGGTTAGTCTGGTTTACAGAGCAACTTCTATGACAGGCTACAAAGTTACACAGAGAAACCCTGTCTCAAAAAAACAAAGACTATGCAGCTAGTTCAGCTCATTATGAAATACAATGTATTAATGGCTTAGGCGTATAAATAAGCACCACTGCAGCTGCCCTAGAAAAGCATAAATACCTTTGCCACGCTGCTTCTTCTCCTTCTGTTCACTTAATTTATCTAGAGGTAGGTTTGTCATTTCAACTCCATACACAGTTCTTGCGAGCACCGCTGTCAAAGAGTCCATGATGTTTGACCACTCGGTGATGAGCTCCTCCCACTCTGTGAGGGACGACAGCACACCTAGAAAGTCATCCCAAAGCTCCCGAGAAATGTACACACAGAGGTTTGCTCGGATCCAAGCCACGATAAGTGTCTGAAACCAACCAAAAATACATGATTTTTAACAGAAAAAAATTAATATCCTTTTCATTGTTTTTCTTACTTTTGACCCACTGTAATGGGGATTTGAATTATGTTAGATGAGTTATCTGAGGAAATATTATTCGAAAGTGCATGACTAGTGCTACTAATATCGGAAAGAACCTAAAACTTCTGAAGGTGGCTCTTTGTCATCACCAGAGAGGCTACGGCAGACATCTTCCTGTATATGTGTTCTTCTAAACTCGAGTGCTACATGATTTTGAGCAGCTGGGCTTGATGCAGAATCAAAGACAACTCATTAAATAAGACTCCCTTCGACCTCAGCCCCCAATACTTTCAGTCCAACACCATTTAATCAGCTTTACCTCCATCTGCGCTGTCTTCCAAGAGACATTTCTACTCCCACTCTGGGTTCCTTTTCAGAATCCTGTGCTTCTATTAAGCCGAACTATCCTGAGCTACATGCTGTATTTCTTCCTCACTTTAAAAACCGACACACTCTCTTTGAAGTAGATAGCCCCTCTGCTTATAGCCATCTTCCTCCTCTACTGAACTCTAACTTTCCTACTTCCTCATCTCCTAGTCAGGTGGTTTTGAATTTTTCCTTCTGACAGCTCTTCACTTTCCACTTGGGTTTTGGTTATCCATTTCTATGGCTCCACTCCCTTCTAACTGTTGTGTACTCTTTTGTCTTTATGTTCAGCACAGATCCCTTGGTTGGCTTCCTGATTATCCACCTGCTGTATTCAGGACAGTCCAAAGGCACTTGTAATACATCATCATGAAAAGAAGTCAATCACTGATTACTAATTTTGATCTAAAATTGGATCAATTTTATTATTAGATCAATATTTTCTATTATATGAAGATTATTAATTTACTGCTTTCTGGTAACAGTTTTGAACTTTTGAAGACATGATTTTAAAAATGTAGAGACAGAAACTGTCATTTTAGCCTTAACAAAAATGCTCAATAAAATATTAGGGTACTAAAACTGACCCAGTATTAGATCACAGATATAATTTTAGTGGAGTAAGAGGAGAGGGTAGAGGCTGTAGAAGTCACTAGAAATCACCTCCCAGTAAACTGCAGTTCTGTTAGCAGGAACAAAACCAGATGGCTGTCTTGGTGTAGTAAGATGTCAAGACTAGAAATCACTTTACTAATCTATAAGAAATAAAGGGATGATGTGGTGGCACTTGTATCGATGAGGCAAGTGAGCACATGCCAATTCCCTCTGCAGCCTCTACACACTACTTATACTATATATGTGCTCTTAATATGTATCATCCAAAAGCCATGAATGGAGAAGAGAACGTTTCCTTTCTCACACATCATTTCAGCTCACGATGCTCCCCTATCAGATTACTCAAGGTCAGACCTAATATAAAAGAATATCATACATTTCCATAGTTTTTCACACTGTTCTTTTTTTAGAAATGTTAATAAATTTTATGAACCCTGTAAAAAGCTGTGTAGCCTGAGGCTACTTCCCTGGGCAGTCCATCAGTTGGCAGCCTATGCATACTCTTGACCCTGCTCTCACTGGGGCAGAAAGTACTGGTACTTCTTTGGCTCTCAGCTCATCCTGAGAGTCATCCAACCCTCCCAGATCCTGAGGTGCCCCTCTGCACCAATACATCCTGACCTCCTTCACTAGAACATCACACTGGCAAGCCAACACTTAAGCAGCACCTTCTCTAAACTTCACCCTCCAAACACAGTGCTCCTCCAGATAGTTCCCCTTTCCCCTCCCTTCCATATCAAGAACTCTTGGAAGCCTTATCCACCGTAGGTAGATTCTAGTAGACTTCAATTCTCTGGACATTCTCAACCACCCACATCTTATCAGAACCAAAGGTCACCTGGCTCTGTTCACTTCCCTGGGCATCTAGAACAATCTACTCTAGCTTTGCCCTCGGCAAACTGGGCTTCCCTGCTCAGCATCTCTGGCTCACTCTCTTCTATCAACCACGGAGAAGCCTTCATCCCCCTAAGCAAATGTTCTCTCTCACAGTCACACCATCCAGTCTGAGGCTTTACATACAGCTACTTGACACAAGGATGGCCTCAAATTATCATCCCGTTTCCATATTTCTATTTATCCTGTAACTGTCAATCTATCTAGTTTTCTCCCCAACTAAGATGTTCAACTCCTGTTACTCTCAAGAAAACCAAGAAGAAGGAGATGGCAGAAAGGGAAGCCTAAAAAACCCAATGTTAACTGTGAAAAACAGACCACAACATTTAGAACAAAGTTAAGAAGGAAAATTTCTAAAAATGCAAAGTTAGCTTGATATAACATGTAAAATCTCAGTAATTAAAACTAATTTGCCAAGTCTGCTTCAATTCTGCATGTGCAGTGTTTAATAAAAAAGACTTACCCTGAAGAGCAGCCCTGCCAAGCTCTGGGCAAACAAGTCCTTTCCATGCTTATCCTTTGGCTTCTGCATGACAGCTTCTGTTATCCTGAGAAGGATTTGCAACATCTGCTCCCTGGGCCACCCAAAATAAAAGCTCATATTAGGAATCAAATCTCCAAAGCACTTTATAGGTATGAGATCTCTGCAGTCAGCAACACTGATAATCACATATTATCTCAAAGCATTAAAAGTCTAGGTGCCAGTTAGACAATAAGATCATATTTTATCCGCATAAACTACTTTATGTTACCACATTTCTACAAACATGCTTTCCATATCCATGCCAATTGGCAGGATGACATCTTCCAGACATCTCCCAGCCTGACTTTTCCCTTTGTAGGAAGGAGGACAAGACAGTTTTCCCCAGTTGAAGCAGCACACCAGGGCACTCACCAAGGGAAAGCTGTCAGTCGGAACTTATGTGGGACTCTAACTTTCTCCATCATTTTGTTACTTAACCTGTAGAGGCCCCCATCTGCCTTTGTGATAAAAACAAAACTGACTCTGGTCTTTCCTATGAGGGCACAGGCAGTCAATAACACTGCGTGACTGTGGTTCCTGGAGAAGGCAGGAGGAGTTTGGAAAGGTCAGGACTGAACACTGATGGGCAGTGCATTTGTGCCTGGTAGATCTCGCCTAAACCACAGAGCACACACCTGGGACAGCTGCAGTCACCATAGCTCAGTCACCATGTGCTACTGTTTTCAGTCTTACAGAAGGGGACTTTACATCAAACTGCTAATTATGACCATTGGTGTTTAAAACAACAGAAGTTCATTTTTTCTTTCTTACATAGCCAAGTTGTGTTTCTCACATCCATGACTATATAGGGATGGAAAATAGAGAAGTTCATGCATTCTCTAAGGGAATCACTCTAGTTCTTGTAAGGTTTTGAGCCCTAACCATTTATTCACTTGCACTACTTTCTTTTAGTTCTTCCTACTCTCCAGTGAAAAAACAAAGACTATGACAGAGCAGTCTCGTTCCGGTCAGACAAAGGGATCTGTGGTTTCTTTCCTCCTGAGTCTGCGCAGTGGATGGATAATGCAGAATCTCAGTAACCTTCTCGTGGTACAATGACCTCTGGGAATTTACTGTCTCCTCACTTGGTATCTGACTCCATTAGGCTTTTACTCCCAGGTTTACTAAAGTGTTAACATCATTCTCCCATCTGTTTTGCACTGTTTATTGATACTGAAATATGGAGTGAGTGATATTTTGTTTGTGCTCTAACAAATAAACCTTGCCTGAAAATCCGAGGGGTAGAGCTAGCCACTCGTTAACCATAGAGGTCTGGAGGTCTGTACAGACAAACTGAAAGTGATATAGCTGGGCAGAGAGAACAATATCAGGCAGAAGACAGGAGCTCAGCCCCTTTTCGGCTGAGGAGTTAACAAGGTAAGAATTGGCTTGCTCCTATCTCTCTGATCTTTCAGCATTTGCTCCGAAATCTGGCTCTGAGTTTTTATTACTAAGACCTATTGGAACTCGTGTAGCAATGGAGGAGGAAGACAAATGCACCATCTTGATCTAGAGACACAGCACAGGACAGCAAGTTTAAAGAAAAGAGAGAAAAGAAATGACAGAGCTGGAGATGGCCTGCCACTCACAGTCAGGATACCCAGGCCCCTGTCACAGGGGAACATGTTATTTAGTGCACCACTGTGTGTTCATAATAGATGCTCAAGAGTTAATTACTAAATGGAAACAAAAGAAACAGAGAGACAGGGAAGAAAAGAGGAGAAAAGAAAAGGGAGAAGGATAAAGTGAGGGAAGGAAGCAAAAGAAAGCATCAGTCATTTGGAACTTAAATATTCAGAAAGTCTGTCTGGGAAGCAGACTATGCCCCTTTTAGTTACTACTTTTATTTATTTCTACAAGTGTCGGTTTATACATGTATCTGGAAACCTCTAAATTACTAAAGGGAAAAAACATTTGCTTAATTTTACTTCCTAAATTTTCATCAGAATAAAATGACTATAAAAACTATAATGCTTGCTATACAATGTATACAGAATTCATCACTTTCTAAGAAAAGAAACAGAGAACTACTATTCACACAGCTGTGGTACAGGGAGCATCATCCAGCTGAGAGCATTTCCCACAGGGTTGTTTGGACCACTATGATATGGGCTGGTTTTACATCACACTGAGCATGGGTGTAATGTTTCCAAACTTAACAGATTCTTGACTCGGTAAGAATGCTAATTTAAAGACCTTGTAATTTATACTTTCAGATCCTCATTTTGATATTTGTGAACTTTCTACAAGGCAGAATTCCTCTGGGTCCACTCTTCCCTCCTCTTGGTGGCCTATGGTCTCTAATAGCTCACCCTTGCCTTGTTTTTAGGGTTTTCCACCTACTGTGGACAACAATAGTACTGGCTTTAGGGTATCTAGAAAACAGGTGTGGTCCCAGAAAAGTTTCTAAGGCAGAAAGGATTTCACTGCCACAGGACCTCAGCAGCCTCAAAGCTCTAGAATGTAAGATAGAAGGGCACCTGTAGTAGTTTTACAGGTGGCTAATTAATATGCACATACCAGGCAGACCTAAGAGACATTTCTAAAACAGGCTACATGTGAAGACAATGGGAAGAAGACATGGCTCAGGCCTTGCTGGTCTATCACTGAGAATACTGAGGGTCATGTGGAGTTATTCACTATGGAAGACAGGCACAGACAACATCTAACACATTTTACCTTTAAGAACACAATTAAGAGAAAAACAGCAAAAGGAAAAAAGGGAAGGAAAAAGCCAGAAGACATACTTTTTGACTGTACTTTTCTGTCACTTTGATGATGTATTAGTTAAAAGAACTGTTTTGACAAAGTGAATTTAAAATACCAAGTTGAAGGAATAAAACTCAAGTTTATAGCACTTCAGGACAACAAAAACTTGAGCTTATAAAGAATCATATTACAAAGCACACACCACTTATCATAAAACTGTCAGATAACAGTTTAAAAATGGCAAAATCCACTACTAAGCAGTGTAACACTAACTCCTGTCCAAGAGCATTTTTACTAACAGTAATGAAAATAAATGAATTATCCAAGTCCTGGGTAGTTAGTTCCCTTTGCGACAATTCATAAAAGCTGCCAATGGGGCTTATCTTATTGTCAGTTCTGTAAAGACATTCGATAAATGGAAACCTTAACACTCTGATTATATCATTAAAAAAGATGGCTGTTTGATGTCAATCTGAAATAAACTTACCATGTTTTTTGATTCATTGTGAGTTCCATTATCATACGCCGAAAAATAATCAGCACAGCTTTACAAGCATCCACTTGTGCTCTCAGGAGCATGGGGACCTCCGCACACGGCTCCAGCAAAAAGACATTCGCAGCATTTGTAAGAAAGACCTTAAAGCCAACAATTTTACATTAGAAAATACAATTAATCATATGACCAATGAATCCCTCTGAGTTATTTTTAGACTCTTTCAAGACAGCAAGTGATACCAATACATGATCCAGGTATTGTGGCTCATCCCTTAGAATTGCCTAGGCAGACACCTAAAAGGCCTTTCTCTCTATTGTATATAAACATTGTTACTTTAGTCATGAGTCACAAAATATTTGAACTTGTTTTATCTTTCAACAGTAACAATAAAACAACAGCAACAATTAGGGAAAAAAAAACCAGGACCATTGCGTCTGGGTGAGAAGGTCTGGAGTGGACAGAAAGTCAAAGAGGCCCATAGGTAGACAACAGAGCAATAATTGTTTTTCTAAGGTGAATTTAAGACATCAAGATGGAAGGACAAGAATCAATTTATAGTAAACCAAATGGGTTTACTGACATGTTCCCGGTACGGTATATGAAACCTGCTTCCTGATGGAGTATTGCAAGTGTCCGCAAGAGGTGTAACGACTGAGCAGAGAGCAGCACTGTGCTTGGAAACAAAGAATGCCACATGGTTGATGTTACATCTTCTAGGATCAGGACTTTTCTTTTCTTTTTTTCTTTCTTCCTCTTCCTCTTCCTTTTCTTCTTCCTCTTCCTCTTCGTTGTCTTCTTCTTCTTCTTCTCCTCCTCCTCTTCCTCCTTCTTTTGGCAGTGCATGTGGTATGTGTCTATATGTTTGTGTTCCTGTGGGAGTGGGAGCTGAACATATGTGCACGTGGAGATCCGAAACAGAAAACTGACATCAGGTGTCTTCTTCACTGCCTCTCCATCTTCTATAATGAAGCAGGGTCTCTCCCTGAACTCAGTTCATTTCTGCTTAGCTGGTTAGCTAACTTGTTCCAGGGATTTCTTGTCTCTGCTTCCCTAGCAGTAGAATTATAGATGGGCTACGAAGCCCATCTGGCATCTCGAAACTTCAGTCCTCACACAGCAAATGTTCTACCATTTGCTGCAGGGCTTTTTTAAATAGCAGAAATCTATTATGCAGCAAGAAACAATAGTCTCAGTGAATTCTTAAGATAAAAGAATATTACAAAGGAACAATAGAGAGTCATCTGACTATTCTATGCTCAGCCCCAGATCTTCGGGACCTAGGTTCTCTGTTCTGTCTCAGCAGGGCTGACTCGAGTTCTCAGACAGTAAATTACTGCTTTCTACACTGAAGGAACACGTCAGCATTCATAAGATGACACCAGTGGCCCATCAATTTCAGATACTTGGTGTTAAACATGGAAAGAGGTTAGAGAGATGACTTAGTGTTTAAGAACACTGACTACTCTTTCAGAGGACCTGGGTTTGATTCCCAGCACCCATAGAGTGGCTCACAACCATCTGCAACTCCAGTTCCAAGGAATCCAATGTCCTTTTCTAGCCTCAGCACCAGGTACGCATGTGGTACAAAGACATATATTTCAGCAAAAGGTACACATAAAACAGATCATATGGATTCTGTCTATCTATATGCCTAATCCTTTGTAAGTATCCTTTAGTAAAATAGTATAAGCAATGAGGTGGTGGGAACAAACCCAGCTTTTCTGGCTTCTTAATGGAGGAAATTCCAAATAAAACACATAGGTTGACCAGACAGGTTCTAACCAACACACATTAAAAACAAACAAACAAACAAACAAACAAACAAACTGATAACAGCCTTTAAGGTTTAACATTTGTAAGATGAAAAAAGTTTCATGTCCCAATTTTATAAGAAAAAGAATCACTAATCACTACCAGATACAAACACAATGTAAATTTAAACAAGGCTTTGAATTAGAAAAAAAAAAAAACAAAGAATTCTCTGATTAACAAACTAAAGCAGTTTTAGTGGCAATGTTTTATATGAGTAAGCCACAAATAACATACTACAATACAAAGCCTTTTGATTTCATGTATTGCCTTCTTGAATTTGAAAATTCTACCCATTCCTAATGAAAAATCTTCATATACTACACTTTTACTTTTAATAATAGCCTCAAGATGCTAACACATAAATACTTGTCACTGTATTGGCACTGGATAAGGTAACACCAAACAATCAAAGTATATATCCAAACTGTACTCGTCCCCAGCAGCAGTAGAAGAATACTCTTCATCAGACCTCCATCAAGCCCCTTTCCCCAGGAGCAACAGTCAAGAGACAAGATACTGAATACAGTAAGAACAAAAACAGAGTAAATCCTTACTAAGCAACTTCTCAAGCTGTAGAGCTACAGGAGGACTGCAGTCCACATGGAGAGAGCTACAGGGACAAAGGGCAAGGACCCCTCTGAGTGTCTGTGTCAAGGTCACAGGCTATAATGATGAGCTACAGAACATTCTCTGTAGCTACAAGAGTAAAATCACTTTTACTCTTTTTTAAGATTTATTTGTATTTATGTTTCTCTTGCTTTCTCTGTGTGCACATGTGCTTACACGGGTGCATGTGTGCATATATATACACACGCCCATCTGGGAATAAGGTCTTACAAATTAAAATCCAAATAACTATTCAGATGTCCTCGGAAGACACATTAGGGTATAAATCGTATATACTGCACACTCACTATAAAATAATCATCTCAAAAAACCTGCAACCAATTCTTACATTTTTTTTGACTAGAAAAAAATACTTTTCATTTGTAGATGGGAAGAAAAACTTAGAACATAATGTCCTTTATTGCCTGATACTCAAAATACTAGTGCACTTTATATGACATTATTCTAATTAAACAAAATGTTCAAATTGTCTTCTCCACCAGGGCTGTCTTTGTGTCCTTAATGGCAGCATACCTGCAACATGGCTTGGGCCCCAGCTTTCACATTTGTGTTGTCCTCCTCTGTCACACATCCTCTGCTCATGGCACTTGTGAAGGAATATGTACGTCCCCAGCTGGATGACCGTTTATGGCCAGAACTTTCAGACGAGGCCTTCAGAAAATAATAATCCATTAGCCAACTATAGAGAAACCTACGTTTACATACTTGGTTCCTTACACTCTGCTGAATGCTCAACCTCTACCACCCAAGGTGGCCTCAGGCCTTACTGTTTCCTGGGAGAGCCAAGTTTACCTGATGCTGAGACATAGAAACTAGGCCTCTACACACACAATTCTACCAGCTCACTGTTCTTGATCTAACCTCATAACTAGTTTCTAAAATAATTTCCCCAATACTAAAACATCAAAACAACAGAATCAATTCAGATATTTAAATTTTTTAAGTCTGTGGCTAAGAATTTTAAATACTGTAAGTTAATTGCATCAGGAAAGCAAATACAATTTGTTTCTTTTATGTTGGAGGGTGTTCTTTACTGTCATTTTAGATTTACTCAGGCCTGAGCCTTGAATAGGACAGTGCCTCCTGCTGGAAGGCAACACTGCTGACACACCAGAAGTACTTGCTCTTTACTCGGTTAATCTCCAAATATTGAATACAGATTTCTTCTGGACAGAGAACTGCCAAAGACAAGTCTGGCAAAACATTGTACGTCTAATCTTTTCCAACAACTATTTATTTAAACAAGTCAAGGAGAGGATAACAGCTTTTCAGTCTCACAGAGAGAATTGCTAATTATGAGAAAACATCTGTCTTGCAACAGTGATTAAGAAAGTGGCCATGTTCATGTGGCCCTAAGCTAAGGGTAAAGGAGAAAACTGCCTACCAAAGATGCAGCATGAACGACGCTTCTAAGGTAGGTCCTCACAGAACCAGCTGCCCGAGAATGTCATGTTCCCACCTGTCTTCGTGGGCAGAGTGGGATCCTTGAATGAGCAGCTCTACTTTGCCTAGAGGTATGTACCCCCAACTCAGAGACTGAGTGATAATGTTACCTCCTTGGAGTCAGTCTCTGAAAGTCCTAATTTGTCAGCATCTTCTTGGGCAACATCCTTTTTATCTGGTTCCTCCATGAACACGGGTTTGTTCTGGAGGATCCACTTCCTGTATACTTGAACTACTTTTCTTGTTACAGATATCTCACAGGAAGGCAACAAAAATGCCTGAAAAAACAAAAACAAAACAAAACATTCTTTAATGCCACACTCTCAGATCATCATAAAGCCACAGAAATTTCCATTACCAACTTCAGAAACATTTAACTTGTACAGAGACCACATACACACCTTTCTACATACTACTCATCTGGAAGAAAAAGATATTGTTATAGTTGGAACAGAAAAATGATGATGTTTCATAGATTCCTCTATATTACAGGTAGCTTTAAAATACCTATACAGGTATTTTAACTATCTATATAAAATAATTATATAGTTTCCTAAAAAAAAATCAGAAATGGTTTGTAAAGTCTGAAAGAGACTATGGCAGGCATGGGAACTGACTACATTTACCTGCTCTAGGCTCTGCATTCAGGTATAGAGTTAAATTGGCCATGGCAGGGTTAGTTAATACCACAGAAGTTGGAGGCGGCTACATATATGGGCTCTTCTTGCTTATTTTGCCTTTTTCTTCTTCTTCTCTTGCTTCTTTTTCATCCCACTTTTGTTCCTTCTTCCCACCTTTCTCCTCTACTTCCTTCCCAGACAGATTTCTGTATTATCAGAACAAGTACTCCCACATAGGCTAACCAGACTGGGCACCTGTAACACTGTGCACATTTGTAGGAACTTAAAAATACTTCCTGTGTGCAAACACAGACCAGAAGTCAATGCTGGATACCTTCCTTGACTGTTTCACTGTCTTATTTTATCAGACACGATTCTTCACTAAATTTGGAACTTCGCTAGACTAGCTGACCAAGAAGCCACAGATTACAGATACATGACACCACATTTTATTACATGGACGCAGGGGATCTGAGCATTTTACTAACTGAACCATCTCTCAGTCAAGGACTTTTTTAATATTAGGACTGTCCTTAAATATTTATAATTTAATGTAAGAAGACAGAAAAATGACTTTGAAGAGGAAATGCATCTGTCTTTTGCATCTCAGATTTAGGGTCTTTCTGTAATGCAAGGTATGCAGGAAGGGCCGCCCCCTCCCATTCAAATAACTGTTTGAATGACACAGACAAGGACAAATGAGCTACAGTAGCTACCATATGTTTTTAAACCCCCCCTTAAGTTTCACAACAAAGGACCCAATGGCAGGCAGATGTCGCTTCAGCATTGGTGCAGAAGATACAGAAATTTCCTGAGGTGTCAGCCAGATCACATCAAATTCCAGAGCACAGGCATTGGTGTTATCAAAAGATTACAAAAATTGAATAAACCAATATTCTTCCATGTAACTCAATAAACACAGATTATGATGAAGTACATGTTTTACTTTCTTCCTTAATTTTATTCAAAAATAGCACATGAATAAAATTTTTTCACTGTGAATAGCCATATCCCTATTCCTCTGATGTTATTAGCAGTAACTATATTTGCTCTATTACATATTTATCTGCCAACCCACCCTCCATTCTTCCTTCAATCCACTCTATTTTTTATGCACTTTATTGGTATTCGATGTATAAATACTTTAGCCTCCAGTCTCTGACTGAAGTCTGGCATTTTTTTTTATTGTATGTTATTTAAGAAAAACTTTACAAAGAAGGAAATACAGGGACCATTAAATCAGTTCTGACTAAAAGTAGAAAACTCGGTAATCCAAACCCAAAATAAAGGAATAGCATACTATCCTCCCCACAATGAGCAAGGAACAGTTCTTGTATGGCAGAAAATGAAAATGAAGTGACATATATATATATATACATATATATATATATATATAAAATATCTCTACAAACATCCAAGACAATATAATAAATAACATACTACTAAATATCATGGAAAATATGCCAAGTCAATTTGAATAAAATAATAATTTAAAAAATAGACAAGATACAAATGAACAGAAAAATCTATAAATCAGGAATATCAGAACCTGAAGTAAGTGAAGTCTGAAAACAAAACAATTCAAATTCAAAGTTATGTGCATATAGGGTTGGCAAAAGGGACACAGCTGAAGTGAAAACTGGGAGAAATATGAGAGAAATCTCTAGCATATAGCAAGCAGAGGCAAAGAGGCAATGCAATAACAAGGTCACCCTATGCAGAGCTAGATGGGCCAGAGCAGTACGCAAGAGTGGCTGGGCTAAGAGAACAAATCCACACAGTCATGAATCACAAAAGCAAGTAGACTAGATACAAGAATTTTACAGTATAACTGCTGAAAACCAAAGGTAATTAAACTAGAAAACATTAAAAGCAGTCAAGAGGCAAAAAAAAGGGACATATTTCTTTCAAAGCAACAAACCACATGGTCTGCTGTGCCTGTTAAACAGAAACCATGAAACAAGGGCTGATGTTCCTCAAAGTGCAGAGAGTACATGGCTGCCTGTGTAGACAAAACAGAGCACCGGAAAGAACATTCTTCAAAAGTGACATTTTCAGGTAAGATAATTTGTTGCCAACATATATGAACTAAGGAAAATACTAAAACTTGTCCTTCAGACCTAAAGGAAAATTACCCTAGGTCAGAAATTTGGCAAGGAATAAAATATTATAAGAAGGGCATTTGTAGAATTCTAAATGAATATGATATATGTAAATATATAAATATATATTGTGTAGCATATAATATAGTAGTTCTGAAAAGTATGGTATACATATATACATTTTATTTGTTTGTTTGGTTTGGTTTTACAGGGCAGGCAGGGTTTCTCTGTGTAACTGTCCTGGTTGTCCTGGAACTCACTTTATAGACTAAGCTGGCCTTGAACTCACTGAGATCTGCCTGCCTCTGCCTCCTGAGTGCTGAGATTAAAGGACTGTGTCACCACCGCCTGGCAAAACACATTCATTTCATAATGTGGAATTCAAATATATTACAAAGTCATATAGGCTGAGAAGGAGTAAATGGGATGAACTTAAACTTATGTTGAAAATGAGAATAGATTTTAAGTTAGAGTTGCATGATGCCAGCCATTAAACAATTGCAGGTGAATGTAATACCTACCACATACATAAGTAAAAGGCTAATGATTTACAATCAAGGAAAGCAGTTACTATGTTGCATAGAAGTAAAATAAAGCTGCAACCAAAAGGTAGATGTATAAGTTAAAAAAAAAAAAGAGTCACCTGCAATTTGTAAGGGAAAACCCAAAGCATATGTTTATGGAGGTAAACAGTACAGTCACAAAAGCATGCAACATGTAAACACAACCAGAAGATGACTGGTAGAGCCATATGAAGACTACACAGGACAGACTTTGAAAAACTTTATACTTGTAAAACTGGAAGCTGCTGTTCTCGTTCCATCAGATGGACACTATCACAGAAAGCCAAAAGTGGATACCACTGGATCAGTGGACTGTGGGGAGCCAAGGCCCAGCAGATATATCTTTAACACAACTTCTACACCTGAGGCTCAGGGAAGATCATGGAAGAGAGGGTGGAAAGATAAAATTATAAGAGCCAGACAACCAGGAAGTTGGAAGCCTGAACAGCGACAATGTCAGTAGGAACATCAACAGACATTGTAACTAGAAAAGAGGAAAATTCATGTTGTCCCAAACAAGTAAATAATGGCTGCTGAAAGGAAGAATTACCCTTTCCCAGGGGTGAGCCACCCTAACTGGCTATATAATATAAAGTGGCCAGCCTTGAAATCATATACACACAAACAACAAAACAGAGTCAGTAGGTGGTATTTAGATATTTGTATAGGCATGTGCGTTTGTGCATGTGTGCGTGCATGCATGCATAAGTGTGCGTGTCTTTGAAGAAAGAGACCATCAATTTGAAAAAGAAATGGGGGAGGGAGGAGGGTCATGGGGGGACTGGAAAGAGGATATGAGGTGGAGAGAGAAAAGGGAAGTGAGGAAATGTTGTAATTATATTTTAATTTAAAAATAAATTTTAAAAACTGGAAGCTTCTCAACAATAACTATTCAATCCACAGAAAGGCATAGTAACTAAATGTATACTGATGCTACAGAGGGGAAACTCTGTCTAGCTTCATGGTTTTCAGTCCATCTTAAAAATCCCTGAGCTCGGCTGTCAAACAGCTGAGCAGTCTACTGCAGGTCTCCCACCAGTTTTGCAAAAGGCACCTCTGGGTTAAATTCTTTCTTTTGTGAGAAGCTTCATTTCACTACCTTACTCAGGGAAAGTTGCTCTTTTAGCTATCTTCCCCTGTTCTGCAGAGACAGTTTTACCTTTGGCTATCCTGTGATGAAAGATGCCTTCACACACTTTTGTAACTGCAGAGTTAGCTATTTCTAGGAAAAGACCTTAAGATGGCATGGAACATAAAGCTATTTAATCAGCAACTTTTCTTTAGATTTACAGAACAAACCCAGAACCTCTGCTGACTTATGGATATCAACAGTCTGTGCATCAGAAAAGCAAACTACAGAAAATTCATAATTACTGCCGTTTCTGCAAATTTCAAAGTTCTATCCACTCTATGCCCTGTCGAAAATCAATCCCTATAAAGCTTTGTACCTGCAACTCCTCACAAAATGTTTCTTTCTATTTTTTTAAAACACCCAAGAGTCCTCATTTACCAGCTTTCAAACTTGTTGTCAAGAAAGCTCTTCTTTTCCCCATCACCTTCTCTCACTCAAATGTTCGGTTTCACTAGGCAGCAACAAAACTTGACTTTGTGCAGCGTCTTAGCCAGGGTTTCTATTGTCATGATAAACACCATGGCCAAAGGTAAGGTAAAGAGGAAAGGGTTCATTTGGATCGTGCATCCCTATCACTCTTCACTGAAGGAATTCAGGACAGGAACTCTAACAGGGCTGGAACCTGGACACAGGAGCTGATGCAGAGGCAATGGAGGATGCTGCTTCCCAGATTGCTCTTTTTGGCTTGCTCAGCCTGCTTCCATATATAACCCAGGACTACAAGTTCAGGGATAGCCACACCCACAATGGACTGGGCCCTCTCTCATTAAGCACTAATTAAGAAAATGCCCTATAGGCTTACCTAAAGCCCAATCTTAATAAAGCATTTCCTCAAATGAGGCTCCCTTCTCTAGTTCGTGTCAAACAGACAGAAAACTAGCCAGCACAGGCAGTTATGCGGCAACTGATGCCTATGTAAAAACACTGTAGATCCTCAGACTTTCAAAGGGGGAAAAAAAGAACATCTACAGCTATTGCAGGATATTCTCACTGAACAGAGAGCAAACAAAACAGGGAGAGAAGCACGGAAATTACCAGGCCTGTTTATTAGATCCTTATGCTTCAACCTGTCCCAGTTTTTAACTGTCACTATGAGGTGTGTGCAGGATTATTTCTTTACTCAATTTAATCTGTCTTCTGCTGCCACCATTCTGCTTTAAGACTATACACTGAAGCTCCCTTCTGGTTTAATAAACATCCCAATTATTACTATTTTTCATTTTAAATTCTGTTTTCTCCTTTTCTAGTATGTATTTGTCAGGTGTTAGTTTCTTGCTTACTTCAAACACGTTCAAATTTATGTTTTTCAAAATGTTAAAAGTACAAATCCCCAAGTTTCAACTTTAGAACTGAAGTTCATATAGTCTCCCTGGCTCTGATTTGTACATTGAAAGAGGTCATGGTTACAAATTCCTAAGTGCAAAAGTAACCTAAGATTATTACACCCAGCTAAACTTCTGGCTACATGAACAAGCAAACAAAAACAAAACAAAATAAACTACAAAAAATAAAAACCTACATTCACTATTTTCAAAGGATCAAAGAAAGTGAGTTTGGAGATACCTTCTCGAAACCACTCAATGACAAGGAAAAAGAAAAAGAAAAAAAGAAAGAAGGAAAGAATAAAATAAAAAGAAAAAAAAGGCACAATATCCAACAAAGCAAGTACTATGTACTCTAAGGTTGTGGAACTCAGTTAAGACGAAGGATTTGCTAAATACAAAACTAAGATTAAACAACCCTATATAGTATGATTTCTAATCGATTTCTGATAATGATACATTTATTTAGTTAGTCAGTTACTCAGTTTGTTTTCTGAGACAAGGAAGGTCTCATGTAGTCCAGGGTAATCTCAAGCTAGTTGTGTAGCTGAGTCTTGCTTTAAATTCCTGATCCTCCTGCCTCCAACTCCCAAATTCTAGGATTACTGGCTTTTCATCATAGTTCAGTGGTACATTTTTCCCTTATAAGATAAATTGATAATGTAATAGAATTGGCTAGCCACAAAATGCCAGTCAAAATTGATCCCAAATGTTATCGTGTCCCACTTAGCACCAACCCTGCTGCAAACCTCGGGCACCAGTTGCAGCCTGGCTTTTGATCTCTTCCTTCTCTTTCCCTTGCTCTTTCCTGCTTCCTTCTCTTCCCAGCACCTTTCTATGGGAGGCATGATAATCCATGGTCCTGGATGAAAAGTCTTCCTCCCTTTACTCCCTTTCTCATCCATTTCTTTTGTCCTGTGCCACAAATATTTCTATCACATACTCACGTCACACAACGTCTCAGGGAAAATACAACTTTCTGGAAGAGCCTCTGGGTTGTGTGAGCTCTGAAGCTCTTGGAACACTGAGTTCACCTGGTGCTAAGTACTAAGAAGAGCTAGCTTTCTATCCACCTACTGCTGTGGGACAATGGTCTTGTACTTTGAAAGATTTGTCACTTGTATCTTAATAAAACATTGATTGGTCAGTAGCCAGGCAGAAGTATAGGCAGGGCACCTAGAACAGGAGAATTCTGGAAAGAGGAAAGGCTCAGTCTGCAGTCGTCACTCAGACACAGAGGAAGCAAGATGCGAATGCCTTGCTGATGAAAGGTACCAAGTCACATGGCTAACACAGACAAGAATTACAGGTTAATGTAAGTTATAAGAGTTAATAAGAAGCCTGAACTATAAACCAACCAGTTTATAATTAATGTAAGACTGTTTCTTTGGGACTAAACAGCTATGGGATGTGGCGGGACAAAAAGCTCTGTCAACCACCTACCTCTGAGTTCAGTTTGCTATGGAGGCATGAAAGTATTTGTTGAATTTTCCTTCATTATATAATGATTAAAAAAAACTTTTTGTGAGTCATAGAAACTTGTGACAAACTAAAAATGGGCCTGGAAAGGCCTTTACTTAGTTCTATAATTTGGGCCAAATTATCAACACTATTGCTTACTGTGTCATAAATAAAGCAATAACGCTACAATTTGGATCTGGAATGCCCACATCCTCCCATGGGTCTAGGCGTAATTTGGTTCTGGGTCGGCACTATTCAGAAGTGACATAAACTTTTTAAGAAAGTATGGCTTAGTGTAATAGTATAGGTCATAGCAAATGTGCCCTCAAAGAAGACTGTAGGACTGTAGTTTCTTGCTATCTTTTTCACACCCACCCATAAAGTAAACAGGCTTAGCTGCTTCCTGGCCCTACCTTAATACCACCCTGCCACAGGCCCAAAGCAACAGGACCAAGTGACCCTGGACTGAGACCTCTGAAACTGAGACAAAATACACTTCCTATATTTAAGTTGATGCCCCCAAGCTTGTGTTAAAGCAATGGGAAGTTGACTAACTCAAGAACAAAGATGACTTCAATTTCATGAATGTATGCCATACACTGACCTGTCGAAATACTTCATTCACAAAATTCACATAACCCCGTGTTGACAGGAGGATCCGTTGCACCATTTCATACACTGTTCGATGCTCTTCTTCAATGCTACAAAGACTGGAGTTGCTGAGTCTTCGGTCAGACAAGGTGCTGCTGTTAGAATGGCTTTTGTCCTGCTCTGTAGACCCAGCACCATCCAGCTCTGGCACCTTTTCTTGGGCTGCACCACCACCACCAGTCTGGAAAATGTCATCACATGTCTCAGCAATCCACATCCTCATTCACCAGCACCAAGTAAAACGTGAGTCTTGTCTTACTCATTGCCTTTTGGGTTCTGAGTGTTGCGGTACTAGAGAAGGAACCCACAGTCTCACATAAGTGAGCTTGTGCTCTGCCACTGATCCACAGCCCCATACCCAGGTCTTGCCTTTTTCCAAGTACTCTGATTACCATCAACTTGCACAGGGTATCACGAGGTGCTGGAAACATGACTCCTGAACCTCTCCTTACCAATTTTCTAATAAACCAAATAATTTGTCTTCAGCCCAGTAACTTTAACAGAAAAACTACAAAGCTATTTCAGGAAAGAGGGCTGTGAAATTTTGTCAGCTAAAAAGTTTAATTTGCATTTGTGAAACCACAAAATAAGTTAATGTGTAAATGCAATGTGTGTCATCATCACACCAGAGCTCTACACTTCTCATTTACTCTACTGCCACAGAAGTGTGAAAACTTGGAAGACTGATTTTTAACAAAAGAATTGAGAATCACCAGGCCCAAAAGGTCAACGGTTAACATTTTCCATCTCTCAAAACATTGTGTTCTCAGAGCCCCCAGGGGCCACGTAAGAAACCCAATGATCTTGCTAGTGAAACAGTGTAGACGAGTTCAAGGTGAGCTAGCCTTCTCTCCAATGAGCAATGACAGACATGGGAATGAAGTCATTTTAGATCCTCCAGACCAGCCATCCCCAGCTAAAGGTCACCACCCAAGAGCTCATGAAATACACAAGATGTTTTAAGTCAGATTCTGTACCACAAAATAAAATCAAAAAATAAGGTTGAAAGGTGGCTTTAAGACACTACATTTTGAGGCAGCTTACATTACAGCAATGAAATAACTAAAACAGCATGGAGAATTACATAGCATCAAGTCATTTAAACATAAGCTCTGGAGCTAAAAAGATGGCTGCAAAAGTATGAAGAACTGGCTCCAGAAAGAGACCTGTCTCCCACCCAGTAGACTCAAGCTGAAATTCAAAGCTCTTGTTATCATGACTCCACCTGATGGTCTATGCAGACATGACTTTTAGTCCTCTGGAACATAAAAAAAAGCCTTATCAGCAAAACAGGCATGCCTACCAGGACCAGGTCAGCACTACCACAGTTCAGAAATCCACATAATACAGACTGTCACTTTCTCCCCACATCAATCTCTCTACCACCCTGGCACCCTCTCAACCCCACTGCTCATACATGCTCATTTTCAGGGTCAATCTAAATACAGACACCCACTACCCACAAAGCAACTCTTGAGGGAATATCTCAGTTGTTTTGTTGGTGCTGCCTGAGAGTGATGACACTCAGTTTCTCTATCTTGATCTGTCAACATGGTCAGCACATCCTATCCTTGCCTCTGCAAAGTTCAAGAGTAACAGAGAATACTACAACGGGGGCAACAAACAAATGTATAAAGTTCTGCTGGGATGTCAGCTTATGTGTGTCATTGTTCTATCCATTCGTCCCAAGAGTCTGTAGATCACTGGGAGAATTGTCTCAGAATTAGTAAAAGTAATGTTTTATTAATATAACTAAAGAGTTATACAAATATGCCCACTGCCTTGCAGTCTCTCTCCTTTTTCTCAATCCCTGATGAACAATTTCAAACCAGCAGGACTAAATGACCATAAACTAAACCTCTAAACCATGAGCTAAAATAAACATTTTAAATTGACTGTTTCAGGTATTTTTGCACAGTAAAAAAGAGCTAAATAACATATCACAAAAACAAGAAAATCTGTAAGAGCAGATTTACCTAGCGCTAGGGAAGCTAAGTCTAAAAGGCACATGATTAGCTGTTTCTCCCTGTCAAAAGAATTAGTTCAAGACCAAGACAAGGACATTATTTCACTTGGGGAACAGAAAACCAAAAGCACTTCATATTAAGCAAAAATGTGAATTCTCCTGTGAAACAGAATTTTAAAATATTTTTAACATATTTTATGAAACTTGTGTGTTGTTTGAAACAGTTTTGATCACCTTAACAAGGACAGTAACTTTTTTTGTTTTGTTTGATGGTTGCTGTTTTGTTTTTGGAGACAGGGCTTCTCTGTCTAATAGTACAGGCTGTCCTGGAACTCACCCTGTAGACCAGGCTGGCCTCAAATTCAGAGATCTACCTATCTCTGCCTCTGGACTGCAAGGATTAAAAGTGTATAACCATCACACTTAGTTCACTCACTTTAGACCCATGAAAGAATATCATATTTTAAATTTGAAATAAAGATTTTAAGGAAATAAATATAATCATTACCATTTTCATTTCATCTTCTAACTTCCAAAGGGTTTTGTTTGGTTTTGTTTTGAACTTTCAGAAAGCCCTCGGTTGTTCTTACTGTAATTCTATCCCAAGATGCTTTTGAAAACAAGTTTGCCCTCTGGGTCTCCAGTAAGTCCTCTACAGTAGATCCACAGGTTCTAGATGTTTGGTAGTCCTCCTTCCATCAAGGCACTAATGACTTTGAAGTATACCAACTCTGATCTGCTTCCTCCAGCTTATGTTTCCCCAACTTGGGTCAATGTCCTGTCACTGTCTGGAATGTCCTTGATATCAGCAAATATTCAGTAAGTGCACTATACTTGCTAGCCCTGTTCTTGGAAACAAGAAACAAAAGTAATCAACCTACACAAAGCCATGAACCTTCAGTAATGTGACTGATCTCTAAGTTCTGAAAACAGAAGTACTCTACCAAGTAGACGTACTGAAGACCCTCTAACCTAAGAAGTCTTTTATCAAGGCCTTAAACAAAGGTAGACTTCTTTCTAAGAACAGCATCATATAGCAATAGCTACCCCAGGATCCTGAGCTGCTAGTACACACTCTCTCCTGAGATTCCAGAGAATACTCAACAGCATGAGCCCTCTCCATAGGCCACATCTACATAACCTGAAGGCCTTCCAGCTACTGGTGACTGATGAAGACAAGAGCCTGTGTCTGTGCTCAGAAGACACAACACTTAAGTAAAGAAGAAAGAAGGGAGGCAGGAGAGTACCCACAAGAGCTATCTTCTCAGAATTCTCCTTGCCCTTGAGACTGCCTTCCTGTAGCAATTCCAGTACTGCATGACAAGGTCTTCAGACCAAAGCTCCCTCTGAAAACTCAGCCCCGCAGACAAATGAGCCAGTAAATCAAAACCTACAAAAACCACAGTTCTAAGAGTCAGTGACTTTGTTAATGTGCAAGTGTGTTTATTATGTGAGGAAAAAAAGATTTTAAACAATGGCTGACATACCTGGATGATTTTAGGCAATCCATCACCTCCATTTTTAGTGTTTTGTGTTGCAGTTAGATATTTTTTTTCCAAAAAGAAAGTTACAATCCATTTAATGAAAACAACACGCGCTGCCATGTATGGAATTTTTGTACTGTAAGTTGTTTCATTATCTCGGGTTACAGTAACATATATTGGCTTTGGTCTCAAATGGGGGATTTCTGATAGAAAGAAAAAGAAAACATAATTATGTTAGTGAATCTTAACATTACATAATCTCTATGAATGGTTTCAATTAATAAACATATATTTAGTTGTTTGAATAGCAACTAGAAATGATGACCTGTAACTGTTTAAAAATAGCATCTTCCAGAAGGCTTCATTCTTTCTGATTTTGCTTTGCAATATAAATAAAAAGAGGTGGCTGTTATTGTCTACATACTGCAATAGTATACCAACATGTTAATTGTTCTCATTAACAATTTTGAGGATTATGTGAGACTATAATAGTGAATATATCTTCATTTCTTGAACAGCTAATTTAATGTTATTTTAAGACAGGAACAAATGTAAAAATTAAACATGAACTTTAACAAACAGTATCTAAAGTTAGTCATGGTGGTGCAACTCTGTAATCCTGACACTTAGGAAGCCAAGACTTTTCATCTAAATGAACTCAGAAACTCAATCTTCATTAAGTTTCATTAAATACGAATTCTATATGGCTGGATTTGAGAAAGGAACTTGCCATAAGCCTACCTTGTATCTTAACTACTTCCTATATTCCTGGAGTACCTTGTTGAGGCTAAAACATTGACAATAAATAATTTTTTGTTATTTCTTTTTAAATACGGAATTTTTACATGTAGCTAAAGTTGGCTTTTAACTCACAATTCTCCTGCCTCAATTATTTCCATGAGGCAATAATCTCTTAGTGAGTTCACATAATTGAATTGTTCATTAAATAACATTATCTTCTCACAATAACATTACCATTCAATATGAACTTAGTGTGACTATTTTGCCTAAAGGGATTATTATGAAATCTACCGTATAATTTCCCTGTGGATGACATCTACAAGGAATCAAAGAGTACTTACCAAGTACAGGTTTGTAGACATTGGTTAACTTAGTAAATGATGGAAACAAATGAGGAAGATAATACTTTCGAAACAATGTAAAAAGAAATTTAAATCCAGTATCTTGATTCTCCTTATTCTTCCATTCCAAACTTGCAGCCTGTGGATAATACGTGGGAAAAAACATTTGTATATTTACAGTTTAAATTAATATATACAAACATGAAATGATGTTAGATTAAGATTCCAATTATAAATGTTTAAATGACAATATTGGTAATATAATTAAATCATATTTCAAAAAGGCTCAAAAGATAATACAAATTCCAGGTATGGTAAACCTGGCCAAGAACCCATGACTGAGTACCACAGGCCCTAGGGCAGATCCTACTTATTTTGCTAAAGGGACACACTATCAAACTGCCTTCTAAGCACTCTTGTTTATTCCCATAGTTATCACCTCACATCCTTCATCAGAAAAGTTTCTTGATGTGCTGGATGGTGGTTTGTACAGAGACTCACAACTGTTCAAAGTACATAGAATAAGTGACCATGGGATGCTCAGTCCTACCAAGGACACCTGTATGTATTACCCCTGTTCCATAGCCCAGGGAATATCTTGAAAAGAAGACAAAAAAAAATTCTAAATGTCAGAGGTCAAGAAGAACTATGACAAAACAGCTGTCTCCTATACAGGGCAGGGCAAGTCACAGGAGCTGTGGCTGCCTTCACAGGGTCAAGTCAGTAAATATTATAAAATGGACAGAGGAGGAGCTTTCGGCATGTGATCGCTGCTGGGTGAAGGAGAGTCAGTGTTCTTCAGCAGTGTAGCCCATGGTAGGCTACCCATGGTCCAGTAGACGGCCCTGCATACAAGCACATGTAGCTGAACAGCTCTAATTGTACTCAGTGGGTTATTTTTAAAAGGCTGTGCTGGGTAAGCTGGCACACGCAGGAGGCAGGGGCAGGTGGAGTCTGAGGTCAGCCTGATCTATATAGCAAGTTCCAAGCCAGCCAGAGCTACATAGTAAGACTCTGACTTTAAAAAAAAAAGAAGAAGAAGAAGAAGAAGAAGAGGAAGAAGCATGAAGTTGGAAGGATGATGGGGAAAGAAGAGACAGGAAGAGGTAGCAGAAAGAGGTATGAAGATGATATAAATATACTTCACTTGTGTATGAAATCGTTAAACGATGTATAACTTTTTTAAGTAAAAATACTTTAAATAACTCACACAAAAAGTACTCACACCAAGTCTTGCTGAAATGGCCCAGCAATAATGCATACCTTGCGTTTAATATATCACTACATAAAAATCACCCCAGTGAAAGCAATACAGACACATAGAAAAAAAAGAGGCAGTGATTCTCTTTCCTACAAAAATAAACCAATCAGTGAGACAGCTTGGTTTTTCTCTGACCTGAATAACCATATATTTCAGCAGTATTTGAAGAAAAAAGCAGGTTTGGTCCTCAGCAATCTTCTCCCCTGGTATGGCTGGCAGAAGTGGGGTGATTTCTTCTGGGTATATTTTTGCTAAAGGGTAAAAAATAATAAGAGCTTATTCATCAATTTTAAATAGGAGTTTAGAAACGGTCTCTATGACAACACATCTGTCCAGGTACTGGAACTGCACCCAAAACCCGCATGAACTAGGGTTTAGGGCCCGGCATAAAGGTCCACGGAGCCTTTTCTTCCTCTGGATCATTCTTTCCCATCAAATTCTGTGTTTGTCAGTCTAAAATTCAATGCAATGAAGTGTTACACAGTAAGTTCACACTCACAGGACACAGATAGACCAATGAGGCCCCTACTGTCCTTCTATAAATGCTACATGGAAAAAACACAGCTGGCAAAGTGAGATGAATGGCCTCTTAAAGAAACAATAGTGATAAGAACAAGAGATGGTGGGGTAGGGAGGACATTTAAATTTCATTAGCTGACACAAAACACTTGTTACTTCATACTACAGCCAACATCTGCCCCCAGCATTCCACTCCTGTTTCTGTCACTTCAGAAATATTCTCATTATTATTTAGTAGAAAATAGGCTCCAGGTTTTTTTGTTCTGGTTTGTTTGTTCGTTTGTTTGTTTTGTTTTGTTTTTTAAGACAAGAGTCTCTCATATAGCCTAGGCTGGTCTCAAACTTATTAGGCAATCAAGAATAACCTTAAAATCCTAATCCTCCTGCCTCTACGTCCACCTTCAAGTGCAGGTATCATAGGCTTATGCCACCACTCCATGTATCCAGGTTTTTTTACTCTTTTCTGTGGTACTGTAGGCTGAACCTATGAATTCTAAATGTCTTTAGGAATCCTCTGTGAATCACAAGCAATAATCTTCAGACTTCATCAGAATTTCTATTCAAGAACATCAACACCAAGGAAACCTCAAGGTAGCTCAAGAGGAGAGATGGCTCGGAAGGTAAGAGCACTTGGCTTGCTACTCTTCCAGACGACCTGAGTCTGGCTCCCAGCACCCATGTCATATGGTCCACAACCAGTTACTCCCAGCACACATATGGCTCACAATCAGTTGTAATGGTGGCTTCTGAGGGATCTGGTGTCCTCTTCTGGCTTCCTCGGGTACCCACACACATAAGGTATACACTTACAGACACACACATAGACACATAAACACACATACAAATATCTAAAAATAAAAATTAAAAATGTCATTTTAGCATGTCAGCCCTGGTAATGCTGCTTACCATCAACTACACTAGGGCTAGGGTTGATGAGTGTCTCCAGTGTGCAGGGTCCCCTGGATGACAGGACCGCTGGGAAACCAGGCACCAGGCAAGCGAAAATCAGCACCTGCTCTTCTGCACAGTTTGTCTGAAGTGCTTGAAGCCACAAAAGAAACAGTCTGATTCCTTCACATCTTATCTAAAAACAAAATTAAGAGCAACAAAAATCAAACATTTAACACATATTTGTAGAAATGCTTTGCAATACAGCATCAGTCTTAAGAAAGAGAGAGAGAGCGAGAGCAAGAGAGAGAGAGAGAGAGAGAGAGAGAGAGAGAAACAGGTATGGTATGGTGGTATAACATCTGTAATCCCAGCACTTGGGAATCTGAGATTGGAAAATCTCAAATTTCAGGCCAGCATGAACTTCAAAGCAAGATCCTGCCTACCCCCCAAAAAGAAAGGGAAGTAGGGGAGAGAAGGGGAGAGGATAAAGATATCAAGTACACAAGTTCTTCTCTCATTACGAAGCAAGTATGTAATGTAGTACAAAGGCTAAGAGATTGGGCACTAGAGCTAAGGAGCCTAGGTTCAAATTTACCCTCTGCTACTGTCTAGTTATGATAGTTGGAGAATCACTTGACTTCTCTAGGTCTTAATTGCCCATCTGTGAAATGGGAAGACTGAGTGAGCTAACACGCATAAGGCACATCAAGCAGTGCCTGGCTCCCACTGAACTATCAATAGCACTTCGTTCTGTAAGACAACACTATCCCCATCATCAATGCTCAATTGTCCATAGGAGCAATGGCAGAAATATTCTCCTTCCATGTTTACACTATGAGGTAACAGAGCAGAATTTCAGTTATGTTAACAAAATGTTCTTTGGAGCTAAATGGGATTCTGAAGACCTGGCTAAGAGACATGGGGCTGTTTCCCAGCTTCCCTGCCTGTGTCAATCCCCAGCGCCCTTGCACACCTTCACCATGATACGAATGGTGAGCAGCACCCAACAGAAGTGAACAGATGTGTCCCTTTTCACTCTACACCCACTTCCGTGTCTACCCTAGTTTCAGAATTCAAAGACACACATTACTCCTTTTCTGTCCTAAATGATTAAAAAGATGTTAATAAAAGAAAATACATAAGTAAATGAGAATTTAAAATGTGTTATCAGATGCAAATGAAACATGCTGGAAGAATTCCCACAGTCTTTAATAACAACCATCCATAACTCAAGTTCCAGACAATCTAATGCCCTCTTCTGACCCCTGGTGGCACCAAGCACACATGTGGTACACATACAAACAAGTAGACAAAACACTTGAACACCTACAATAAAATTAATAAATCTAAAAAAGTTTAAAGAAATATTCCATTATACTTTCATCAAAAATTATTACCTTAATAGAATTTCCAGTGTGTAGAAGCTTCTTTAAAGTTGAGCCTGGAAGTTTAAAACAACTGGTCAGAAATAGAGTATATTAAAAAATATTTAAGGTATGTGAGGGAATATTTAATATCTACATTATTTTATTCTATTTTTATTTATGTGTGTATATATGATGTATGCATGCATGCATACACAGGTATGTGTGTGCACTGTTAGTGTAGTTGACCTCAAGAGGGCACTGAATTCCCTGAAACTAGAATTACAACCAATTGTAAGCTACCCAATGTGAGGGTGCTTGGAACCAAACCCACGTCCTCTGCAAGAGCAGCAAGTGTTCTTAACACAATAGTACTCAAAATATCTGTTTAAAGATCAGCTTTAGAAAGGAAAAAAAAATGCATGCCTTTTCAAGAACATAAGACTGATTATCAAAGGCAAACAACCTCACAGGAGAAAAGATAACTGCTTCAGTCTGCAGGATTATGCGGTTAAATTTTAGCTAACCAATCAGGTCAACCCACCAGAAAAAATGTATTTTGATGGAGGCCCAGATGCTGGGAATACCGAATTTTGAATAGCGGTTCTTCTGCTGTAAATTCCTTGTGAAGACATAGCACTCTCCTTCTCTAGTGGGATTTGTCCCAAGATTCAGCAGTGTATTAAATTATTGGGCATAATTTTCCCTGTGTACTAGTATTTTGGGTGACTTTATCCCCCAAACTGTGGGACCCTGGTAAGAAAGTTAGTCACACAGTCAAAAACCTTTGTTCTCAAGTCAAATCTCCACTCCATTCCCTGAGATAAACTTAGAAGCCAGCTCCCTGCAATTATCTTTTATTGGTAGGACATTTGGCCACAAGAGGAGTCTTCCAAATAGATCACATTTGGGACCTTCAAAGATAGGCACTAGGAGGAGGGTACGGCCCATCTGAGCTTGTTGACTTATTGTCCTCACAGATAAGGAGACTGGGTGACCCAAATTCACCGCAGCTGATCTGGGAAAGTGAAAACTCAGTTAAACACCCACCCACCCCGGGACTCTAAAAGGTCATTAATGCCTTGCACCTACTCTCACTTTGGTTTATATATACAGGATTTTAGTCTAGGAAATTAACTGCCTGTGACTTAGCCCTGAAAGATAACAGGAAAAGCTACTAATCATTTAAGCAGTTCTGGAGAAAAGTAATTCTTTTCACAAAGGCAGCATGGGGACAAACAATGCCGCTGTTTGGCATGGGTGGATGGAAATTGTCAGACCCCAGATTTTGTACTATATAACCATAAATTCCCATTGTTCTAACCACTAACAGTGATAGACACAATTCTTATATCTGAGAGATTCCCCTTCTCCCCCAGCTAGCTAACACTAGTGAAAATGCATGTCTTCTTCCACAGTTTATGCCGGTCACCAGGGCTACCTTGAGTTCCCAGGCACCAAAACTCCAGCAGGTTGAGTGAGGGTCCTCCTTTCTTTTACATTTTATGAATCACACACCTCTAGTCTAATTAATCACTTTTAGGAATGCAGCACACGAATTCCCCTTTTCTTCCCTTCTTGGAATTTGAAGCTCTCTAACTCAATGTTTTAGTCGTTTAGTGGTGCCTGGGTGCTTTTCTAGCCACACCTCCCTGGAGCCATAAAGAAAGTCTGTGCAGCTCTTATCTGTCTTATGACCCTGAGAAATTCAAGCCTTGTAACCCTGCTATCAGCAGAGAATTACTGATTGAGTGTTTATATAAACTGGAAACTTTGGAGCACAGCAGTACAATAAAGAAAGTGAATCAAAAGCATGGAGTGAGAGATTCATTTGCCCTCAGACATCCTGAGTCCTTCTCTGACTGCTGCTTCCTCTCTGAACCCTGAGAAGGCATTGGGACTGGCTCCCAAAAGGCTCTTGTTAGATAACTTTAAAGATAGTAGTACTTTGAGTATGGGAACCTCTTAAACATTCTTTTTAAAAAGTCCGGATGACTGACATTCCTATTACAGAGAAACTTGCTCACCCATTCCACTGCTGTTCTATTCACAACAGCTAGAAAATGGAACCACTTAGATGTCCATCAACTGAGGAATGGTTAATAAAAATAAGGTACATATGTACAATGTAATATTATTCAGTTTTAAAAAAAATTGAAATGTACCAGTAAATGAGAAGAGCTGGAAAAAAATTAGACTGAGTCACCCATGCCCACAAAGACAAAAATTTCATGAAATGAGAGGTGCTAGAAATACAAGTTGTTGTTATTCTTCTTATTTGTTCACCAGAACTAGATGATAAGACCCTATTACTGAAGATATCAGATGCTTTGGATGCAAGAAATAGAGAAATCAAGCTGGTACTGAGCCAGGAACTTCCTCTTGGTTGGGTAGCTTTCACAGTGCCTCCTACCTAAAAGTGCTGAGATCACAGACACACACACACTGTCAAGCCTACTTTTCTGTGTGCCCTGTGCATATGAACTAGAGTGGCTGCTACCTGCACAACAGTGGGCACATCCTGTCTGACAGGGCAGCATTCTAGTCTATAAGGCTTACAGCTAGTTAAGACTATTGATACCTTTTCTCTTCCAGGAGTCTGAATAGCACCTTCCAGCACTGTGGTCTACAATGATGTATTGTTGGGGACAGGGAGTTTCTGGGGCTTCTCTGACCGACAATTTACAAAGAAGTACTTGACACCTCACACTGGGATTTCTGTTTGGTATACGATGTCTTCTGAGAGCAGCATTATCCAGCTATGCAGGATTGCTCCTTTCTCTTTTCAGAAACTTCCATTTTTAAGATGTTGCTCATATCTCATAGTATAACATCTCTGAAATATATTAATGGAGGGCTGAAGAGAGAGCTCAGTGGCTCAGTCTGGCAGGGAACTTACTATGTAGACCAGGTTGGCCTTGAACTCCAGAGATCCACTTGCCTCTGCTCTGAGTGCTGGGATTAAAAGCATGTACCACAAATAAAAATCTTTTAAAGATATTTCAAAAATATCTTCCAAGCTAAAAGTTCAGATAGATGTTTTTAATGTAATGCTAACATTACAAAGCTCTTTCCTAATTTTATTTTGTTTTTTCTTTAAAAATTTGTTCTCTGCCTCATATCTCAAACTAGTAAAGTGAGCAGTACCACCATATAACATCAGCTGTCGTTTCACAAGAACAGTCAGGGGCACAAAAACGCCCTGGGCTGCTGATTTGAAAAGATCATAGCAAGTGGCAAGTGGAGGAAAAACATAGAATTTTCTGGCATTTCTACATCCACTGCAAGTACAAAGGAACAGTGGTCCACTGAAAGAAGTAAAATTCACCAAAAAAAGAAAAAAATTGTTAAAAATGGATCCAGGACCTAAATGTGAAGCATAACCATAAAATTACTGGAAGAAAATACATCAGGTGTGATATTGCACTTGGGAGACAGAAGCAGGTGGATCTCTGTGAATTCCAGACCAGACTGTCTACTGAGTAGGACTGGGGGGTAGGGGATATATGAGCAAACACGGGAGATCTTTATGATTTTGTATTAATAACAAATTCCCAATCCCATGCCTATCTGAGGGGCTAATGGCAAATGATGGCTGGTTGGGGAGGGAGAGTCAATTCTTTAGGAATGTGGGCCCTGAGAGGCTACCCATTTTTCAGTGTGTTGTATGCTCCTTCACCTATGCCCTTACAGGAAGCAGTAAAAAGATTTAGTAATTTTTTTTAAAGAGAAAGAGCATATATGAGAGAAAAGTGATTGGGCAAATAAAGGAGGAACTGGAGGGGAAGGAATAAGGAGTAAGCTTTGATCCAAACATATTTTATATACATGTATGAATATTAAAGAAAATATTTTTAAAGATTTCTAGATATGACAAAAAGTAAAACCCATAAAAATGCAAATTGGACTTCTCCAAAAATTAAGAACACTGTTCTTTAAAATAGAGAAAATATTTCCAAGGCATATATCTGATGAGACTTCCATCTAAAATATTAGAATCCCCAAAAACAAAAATTGAGAAAATAAAACAATGCAACTTTTAAATGGGTAGCCTTGAAACACATTTTACCAGAGACACACAGAAATTGCATGAAAAAAAGTTTAAGACCATAAGTCAATGTGATAGCACAACCAAAAACTAAACACTGACCATAACACCTGCTATTAACTGGACCATGACACTACTGAGGACATAAAATGATATAGCCACTCTGCAAAAAAACAGTTTATCAGTTAAGTGTGCTGTACAGGAAACAGGAAAACTTATTTCTGCCTAAAGACCTGTGCACAAATATCTAACAGTAGGTTTACGCATAACAACCAAATATGAGAATCAACTGAACACTATATCAGCAAGAGAATGGAGCAACAGATGATAGCAAAGTTATACAATGGAATACTGTTCTATTCAGAAATGAAAAGGAATGAACTATTAGTACATAGCATACAGATGAATCTCAAAGTAAGTAGCGCATAAAAGATGCTATGCTAGCTAGTTTTGAGTCAACTTGATACAAGCTATTGTCATTTGAGAGAAGGGAACCTCAATAGAGAAAATGCCTCCATAACTTCAGGCTGTAGGCAAGCCTATAGAGGATTTTTCTAACTGGTGGGAAACAACCAGCCCACTGTAGATCTTACCACCCTAGGCTGGTGGGTAATCTGTCCACTTTGAACCTGATAAAAGAGAAAATGGGAAGTAGTCTACAAGATATAGGCACAGGAGACCACTTCCTAAGTAGAACCCCAGTAGTACAGACAATAAGAGAATCAATGAATAAATGGGACCTACTGAAACTGAGAAGCTTCTGTAAAGCAAAGGACACTGTCAGTAAGACAAAAAGGCTACCTTCTGACTGAGAGAAGATCTTCACCAACCCCTCATCAGACAAAGGTCTGATCTCCAAAATATACAAAGAACTCAAGAAACTAGACACTAAAACTCTAATTAACCCAATTAAAAAATGGGGTACTGAACTGAACAGAGAATTCACAACAGATGACCTTCGAATGGCCAAAAGACACTTAAGGTCATGCTCAACCTCCTTAACGATTAGGGGAATGCAAATCAAAACCA